ACCTCCAGGTTAGGCTGCAGAAACCTTTCTGTAGCCTGGATGTCCCCCCCAAGGGGTGATCCTTCTGCATCCTCCCACCCCAGGGCCTTCTGCTTCCCAAAGGTGCCTTCCAGACCACCCGTGAGGAAAGGGAACCTGGTTGCTGCTCTCCTGGAGCTGGAGCTCAGTCCCTCCTGCCCTGGGTCTCATGCTGGCACGTGGTGCTTGTGCAGCCTGGGGGTGCTGGGTGCCTGGTGCTGAGAATCATGCCCCAAGAAACAACTTTTAAGCTGTTGGGGACAAACCACATCAGGAGAGGGCTGCTGTGGCAGCTGTGGAGGTTGTGTTGGCATGCCATGGGCTTTCCCAAAAGGCCCTGGAGGGACAGGGTAAGGACATATGGAGCCCATCTGGACACTGCCTCATTTCTGAGGAAAACAAAACCAAAAAAAAAACAAGGCAGCACAAGTATAGCACGAGCTTTTCCAGCCTCCTGGGTTTGATTTACATCACATAACTTCATGGTGGTTTTGTCCTCAATCCTCCCAGACCAGAAACCAAGCTTGGAGAGGGAAGATGATGCCCTAACTACGTGTAATGCTCAGCTTAAAATAGCCAGGACAAAGAAGTGGTTTGAGTTCTGTAATGATAATTGCCCCGACCTAAAAATAGGTGGATGTTCTACCAGGCAGGGAGAAGTAAGAGTGAGACACGAGGTGCTGGGAGACACCTCAGAGACAAGGCTCTGCTCAAGCAGGTCGTTGCTGTAGGTGCCTACAGGTTTCCCCCCCCCTTTTGCCCACCATTTACAGTGGGTGGTGGCCACCAGCACCACCAGAACTGGCACTGCTGAATTTTAAGCTACTGGGGTGAAAAAAAAATACATCATCTGGCTTGTTCATAGGGATAAAAGCAACAAAAACACATTATAAAAACCAAAAAGGCTCCTTCAGCGTTAAAGCCAACCCAGGGAAAGCTCTGATGGAGGGGAGGATGGAAACTGCTGGGAGGTGCTTTGTCTCTGAAGTCCTGCTGTAGTGACCCCGGGGGTGGAGAACAAGCTTGGGGGGCTGGGAGGAATCTGTGACATTTAAACCCAGAGCTGAGCTGCTGTGCTGCAGAACTCCTACAAATCCTGTGGTGCTGGGAGGTGAAATTCTAAGCATTTTGCAGCTAATTTGCAAGTATTAGCTCCTGCATTAGCAACTCCGGCAAGCAAGGCATTATCATTTTAGAAACTGGAGGCAAAATGTTAAAAATAATGTTAAAAAAACCACCTTGGGTGTGTTTTTAATTCCAAAAAGCAGCTGTGAATTGCTCTGTTTAGCCAGCCACAGCTGGAAAAGACCTTGAAGATCCTAGTTGCTTTACCTGGGTTTGGAAATGGTAAAAAAAGGCTTTAAAAGCTGGTTTATTTTGGTCTTTAAGCTAAATGGAGAAGTGAGCAAGATCTAGATGTAAGGTGTTGCTTCTCTGTTCTGGTGCTGGCTTCCCTTCCACAGGGAGGTTTGTTGTGTGATGCAAAGGGCAGCACTCGACTGGCAAACTTCCTCCAGGGCTCATGGAGTTCCAAACCATGTCTGTGCTACAACAGGGAATTTAGTTCTCAACTGAAACAATAACAGGACTTAAAAAACCCCAGCAAGCCTCCTCTTTGCCAGCAGCACAAAGGTTGGAAGAGACCTCCAAGATCATCAAGTCCAACTATCAACCCCACACTACTGTGGCCACTAAACCAGGTCCCCAAGTGCAATGTCCATGTGTTTGTGAACCAGGGCTGGGGACTCCAGCACCTCCCTGGGCAGCCTGGGCCAAGGCCTCACCACTCTGTCAGAAGAGAAATTCATCCTCAGATCCAATTGAAACCTCCCCTGGAGCAACTTCAGCTCATCTCTTGTCCTATCACTCATTACTTGGGGGAAGTAACCAACCCAAACCTCACTCCAGCCTCCTGTCAGGGAGTTGTAGAGAGCCAGAAGCTCTCCCCTCAGCCTCCTGACTAACCACCCCCAGGTCCCTCAGCCTCTCCTCACAACCCACATTCCCCAGACCCCTCCCCAGCTTCATTGCCCTTCTGTGGATCTGCTCCAGCCCTTCAATGTCCTCCTCCTACAGTGGCTCCCAAAACTGCCCCCAGTCCTCAAGCTGTGGCCTCCACAATATTCAATTGTTGCAGCATTTTCTGGAAAGTTTTTGGCCCACTTTGGAGTTAAAGGTCTATTTTTGATGGGCTGATCTGTTGGAAGGTGTCACCCATCCCTCCTCTTGGCAGCTCTGACGTGGTTTCTCTTGTGTTACACCTTCCACTGATGTGAGTTAGATCTTAGACCAGTAAATTTAACTTCTGGTGTGTATTCAGGTGAGGGACAATATTTGTTCCTAATCCTAAAATGTGCATTTTCACAGTGTCATTCAGTGCCTGTGCTTGGTTGAAAGGTTAATATTTCATGGTTAGCTTGTGATGGGAAAGGAGGAGAATCTTGATATAGAAACATACCTTAAAAAAAGGTCTGATGGAAGCATCAGCTTCTAATGTTGCTTGTGCAGAAGATTGCAGCTGGGTGGTGAGACTTGGCCCAACTGCCAACAACTTGCCACAAAGCTCCATCTGGAGCAGACCTTGGAAGCCAAAACAGAGTGAATATAGATTCAGGTGTTGCTTTTGAATATTATTTTAGTGATGCCAGCAAAAAGTAGAATGTTTCCACTCACCTGAGTAATTTCAGCTGCTTTACCCCCAAGAGTGCCCTAAGAGGAGCAAGTCAGTGTGTTCAGGCTGGGAAACCCACTGTGTTATCCTAGAGGGGGATGCTAAAGGCTTCTTTGGACAGAAGTGGCTTCCCCAAGGGATCATTTCCCCAGGCAGGGCAGCGTTGAGCTCCAGCAGCTCCTTCCCCTCGGCAGAACTGACTCCTGCTGTTCCCCACCCCCCCTCCTCCTGCACCCCTCTCTCCATCCCACCTCCACCTTTACTCGTTCCCACCCTCCCCTGCCCTCAGCCTCTTCCCTTCCTGGCAGTTGTCTCCCCATCCCTGTGGTGCTTTTGTGTCTCTCCACGGGCCCTCCTGCCCCTGCAGCGCTGGTCCCCAGCCTCAGGACCCTGCCTGGGCTCACGGCCTCCCGCCCCGAATCCCGGCTCCGGGAAAGCGTGTCGGGATAAACAGGGATTTCTGTGTGTGCAGACTGGGAGGACTTGGGATAAACAAGGATTTCTGTGTGTGCAGACTGGGAGGACTTGGGATAAACAAGGATTTCTGTGTGTGCAGACTGGGGCTGGCTGCAGCAAAGGGGCCAGAAAAGCTGCAGGCAGGAGAGTCGTTTTCGTGGGACCGGGGGCGGTGTCGGTGCCCGGCGAGGCAACTGGGAGAGGTTTTTTTGGGAAGCGAGTGCTGCGTGTTGACAGGCACATCCTGAAGAAAGGCTCCTCGCTCCTTCCCAAACATGGGCAGCAGGAACCATCTCCCAGGCTCTTGTCCTGAGAGAGCACACGCCCTTTCCAGTAAGACAGAGCACCCCGCAGCAGCAGCAGGCGGCTCTGGCTCTATTTTAGGCGCTTCCCGTGGAATTCCAGTGCCTCGGATGAACAGAAGTTGTCTAAACAGAATCCCATCCAGTGATGAATGTGATCTGGCAGCTCTGGGCCTCTCCTGCCAGAGAGGCAGAGCCTGTCCTCACTCCTGGAGTTCAGCAGCTCCTCGGCTGGCGCCGCCCCGGGCTGCAGCTGGGGACTCGTTTTGCCTCTGTCGGGAGAGCAGGGCTGGTGCTTTGCACTGGGCTGGGCTGGGTGCACAGGGAGATCGTGGAATCGTGGAGGTTGGAAAAGAGCTGGAGGATCATCAAGTCCAGCTGTCAACCCAACACTACTGTGGCCACTAAACCATGTCCCCAAGTGCCACGTCCAACGTGTTTTTTGAGCCCCTCCAGGGATAGTGACTTCACCACGCTGTGGCCTCACCAGTGCCGAGTCCAGGGGCACAATCCCTTCCCTGCTCCTGCTGGCCACGCTGGTTTTGACCCAGGCCAGGATGCTGGTGGGCTTTTTGGCCACCAAGCCCTTCCCTGCTCCTGCTGTCCACGCTGGTTTTGACCCAGGCCAGGATGCTGGTGGCCTTTTTGGCCACCTGGGCACACACTGGCTCACAGTGCAGCAAGGGCAGCACTTCTACACTAACTCCACAGCCCCCTCCCTGCCCGGGGGCAGCTCCATGGGGCTGGCTGAGCCCTGCCCTGAGTTAGCAGCACTGCCACATCTCCACGTGCTTTGCCTTTGCCACACTGAGGTAATTAGGTTTAAAGCCAGGCCTTAGACTGGTTTTGGAGTGAAGGGAGTAATTTGAAAAGAACAGGTTTGCCCTTAAATCCCATTTTTGAATCGTTTGCCAGGACGCTGATGGTTGTGATTTCCTTTATGGTGGTAGAGTCATGCACAGGAGGAACAGAGCATAAGCAGGACATCCCTGGATCAGGAAGTCAATAACTCAGATATGACAGGAATAAAAAACACCTTTCCTGTAAAAGCCATGGGTCTGTGCTGCACAGATCCTGCTTTTCACTGGGCTGCTGTGTGAGCTCGCAGAGGATGGGCTCTGTCAGGCTGGGATCTCATCCAGCAGCCCTTGAATGGGGTTGGGGTTCATGGCTCTCCAGACACCGTCCCTGAAACTCAGAGCACAGCAAGAGGGTTTTTTTTTGTCCAAAGCAACACGAGCCAGGATTCCTGTGAGTGAAGACTCGATGAGATCTCCGTTGGTTGGAGACCCGTGGGGTTCACAACGCTCACATCTCTGGGGTGGTGTCTTTAGACTTCAGGCTGTTTAATTATACAGGAGCTGAGGCACAGCTCAGATATAACCCTTTAGAAAACACTTTTTTATTGTAAGAATTTTCTTCCTGCTTCCATTTCCCACCTGCTTTGCTGCCCTTGTTCCACGCTGAACCCTGGACCGCGCCGTCGGCAGCGTCCAAAGAGAGCTCGGCTGATGCTCTTCCCTTTCTCTCCCTCCCTCCCTCTCTCCCGACAGATTAAAAAGCAGCAACAAGATGTGCTGGGCTTCTTGGAAGCCAACAAAATCGAATTTGAGGAGAAGGATATCGCGGCCAACGAGGAGAATCGGCGGTGGATGCGGGAGAACGTGCCCGAGGACAGGCGGCCGGCGAGCGGC